CCCCAAAACCCCAAAACCCCAAAACCCCAAAACCCCTGGGAAATTTAGGAAAATTGAAATTTTTGAATGGGAAGAGGATTTTTAGAGGGTTGTTAAAGAGGAAGGTTTATTCGGGGGAATTATTTGAGCAGGATCTGGGTTAGTAATATTGGTTGTCTTTGGTAGATTTCATGCCAGCAGGCTGCATCTGGGCTGGGTCTATTCTTTCCTTCCTTGATTTGCGGAGGTGCTCGCTGGTTACAGGAACTGTCTCTGGTACAGCTTGTCTTACAGGACTTCTAGGAGATTAGAGGTTAAGGAAATACCTTCCGTCTTTTGTAGGAGGAGACATCTCGAAATTTGACATTTTAGACATCAGAGTGTTTGTGTTTAAAACTCTAGTTGGTGACATTTCAGTAGGACTAATTCTAGTAGGAGACATGTCTAATTTAAAACCTGTCAAAGCATCTTGGGAGAAGCTTAATGGGTTTGCAGTGAACTTCATATCAGGCTTAATCAAAGAAGGATCAAATGAAGATTGGATTGGAGCTTGTAATGTCCTATAATAGTTAGTAGCAGCCTCTTACATTTGCTCTAGTTTGCTCTTTGTCTTGAATCTATGATTTCCTACATCCTCTAGCAATTTTTCAAGCTTGATTAGTACTAGCCCCTTATTAATTTCTTCAGAAGTCCTTAGCAATTCAAGTGAACTTTGCAAGTTATTGGCTAAGTTGTTATTGAACTGATCACCCTGAGTGATAATACTCTGATAAACTAATGCCTTTTTCTCTTGCATCAAAGAAGCCTCCTTAAGATACTTATTCTCATTTTTGTATTCTTTCTCAGTTTCATTTGAGATTTCAATAGTGTTTCTTAGATTAAGGATTTCTCTCTTCAAAGCCTCGCTTTCAGTAACCACTTGCCTTGAAACCAACCCTTCTTTCCAGTTTTGCTCCTTAAGAGCCTTGTTCTCTTCCATTAAATCATTTCTCTGCTTCATCAATTGTTCTATCTCTTTCTTAAAGGTTTGTGATGCCAGATCATAGTTAGTGACATCTGTTGTATAATCGTCATTCTTTTGTTGTATCTCAACGCTTTGCAGCATTATTTTCTTTTGAAGTTCTTCAACCATAGCTTTAGCCTCAACTGATTCCTTTGTAGAGTTTGCAACCTCTTCAGCTTGTGAAGCAAGTCTTTGCTCCAGTTCAAGCTTGGTCTTCTGCAAGTTATCAATTTCTTGATTCTTAGATTTAAGTTGTTCTAAAGAGTTCTGATGTATCTCATTTTTCTCTAAAACCAATTCATCAATCTGCCTCTGGAGATTATATCTCTGACTTTCTGTAGTCTCCTGAGTGCCTTGGACCTTACTCTCAGCTTGGTGGCATCTAAGTTCAAGCATTGAGATCTGGTTTGCCAGATCTTTGTTTTGGTTAAGTGTATTTTGGAACTCAACATTGACCTTCTGTAGCATAGATTCATATTTCTCCAACATCTTTTGTTTTTCACCAAGCTTCTTAATCAGTTTTCCCTCGTTGGATTGGACCACTGGGGAGCCTCCCATCGTCCTTCCTGGGGAGAATGCAGGCTGTTCTGTATTCGCAGAAGGAGATTTGTTCCCGTTCTGGCCTATAGCTCCATTGTCATCGTCCCTTGCACTATGGAAGCTTGGTCTTGACTTCTGTTTGTATTCGATATTATGTGAATTACTATGAGCAAAGAAATCCTAAAAATAAGATAGAGTCTTTACCTGCTGAGTTGTGCTGTTTATTGATGCTTTATGGCTTCCAATAGGTATTTTAGGGGCATCAATGGTCTTCTTGAGGACTGTTTTCTCGTTTGAAGATATTACATTCTTCTCGTTAGAGACGATTGCACCCTCATTTTTGTCAATGACATGCCTGATCCCTCCATTTCTTGGTGATCTATTTGGCAGATTTGCCTTTGTTGAAAAATCTTTCTTTGGAGTTGAATTTTGAGCTTTTTCTTTGAGCCCTCCTGGGAATGTATCTTTACTCCTAACTAACTCATTAATAGCAGTGGATCTCTGAGGATAAGGATCCACTTCGTTTTCTGTGATTTCTACTATCTCCTCTTCGACAATACTTTTCATGATAGGCCCATTTGAAGCATAGGAGCTTACTTCATTCAGCCTTTTTAATTCCTTTGAAGCATTTGAATCAAGCTTATGAGGATCTTCTTTAGTATCAGAGGTGTTATTGTCAAGGCTGATCTGAATTCTATCAACCTGGCCAGGTGCTCTTGATTCAGGAGGAATATATTTTCTCCTTGGCTCTGAGTTTACCAGACTTTCTTTAACCATCTTAGTCGTAATGACCTTGAACCTATCCTTTTTAGACCTAATGTTTGGACTTCCTCCTGAGATGGTATTCCTTGCATCTAAATATTAAGACTGATGAGTACCATATTCGCAAGAGGGGTTTTTCTTGAGACGATCTAGAAGCTTCCTGCTGTTTTCTAAATATCCTTTGCTATCTTCTCTTTCCCACAGGTCACTTTGAGAGTATCCATCGATATTACTTTGGATCTCATTTGTCTTCAAATTGACTGAAGCTCCGATAGCTACCTTCTTAATGTAAGCTTTTTCTGTATGAAGATCAGTCTCCGAACTTTCTGGGTCATCTTGAGGGGGCCGAAATGGCTTCCTTTGTCTCGTTTTTGTATTTGAAGTTGAAGCTCTCTTATTATTCAACTTTTCCTGGGTAATTATTCCATGAGGAGATCCTTCCCTTGAGTCCAGCTTTGAAGGTTTAATCGAAACCTCCTTCAACTTTGAGGATGACTTTTGGTTTGTAGCAAATGGCTAGAGAATGTTAAATCTTTGTAAATTTGTCACATCTTCTATGAAACTCTTCTTACCCTAATCCTATTCTTTCTGGCCTTGATAGTAGACTCTTTCTTTCCCTCTATCTCCTTCTTGATGATTGCAGAAGGTTTTGCTTTCTTTACTGTGCTAGACATCCCTGTCTTTGATTGATATTTTGTTGTTCTCCCAATAATCCTTGTACCTGAAAAGACTTAAGACTCATTTTATTTTTGGCCAAATAAAATAAATCTGCGCATAAAAATATGTGTAGAACCAATATAAGGCTTGACGTTTAGATAATCTAACAAAGATCTATTTTAAGAGTCAAATTTTTTAAGCGTGATTTTAGAGTCTCACCTAATAAGATTGACTCTAAAAAGGGGTAATTTGTGATAAAAATCAGTCCTATAAGCACAAAATTGTTATAAAGGAGGAATGACAAGTTATTTCGTCTCTAGTCAGCACTCAAAAGCTACTTACTAGCTTTACTCTTCTTCATTGGTTTTATTTTCCAAAAAACTATTATTTGCAATCACAACCCACTTAAAGGGGTTTTGGGGTTTTGGGGTTTTGGGGTTTTGGGG